ATTGGACTTGATGATCTCAGGGGTCTTTTCCAACCTAAACAATTCTATAATTCAGTGACTGTGTCTTGTGTTGGGGACACTCAGCTTCCCTGGGGGAAGGTTTTTCAGTGACCAGCTGCCAGCCTTGTGCGCTGTGAGAGTGTCTGAGTCCCACAGTGACACCCCTCCTGCTGCCCTAGAAAACTGTGTGCACCAGACTAGTCCCCTTCTTGTTAAAGACCAGTAATGAGGCAAAAAAAGCTGAATGCTGGATTTAATTAGTCCAAGAAGACCATATGGCTGAACCTGTGATCCAGGTGTGCTCAGGGCATGGGACCAAGGGCCAGCACAGGAGCAGCAGGTTGGTTGGTAGGGTCAAAGAGGCTTTGAATTGTTTTTAGGTGCTTGTGTGGAGAGACACAACCCTCAGTGTCCTGAAAGCGTGGCCCAGTTCTTCTTCTGCCTTTTCCCACCGTGGCTTGGAATAGAAACCTGTGTGTGATATTTTGGTGTCCTTGGAGGACTCTGCAAATGAAGCAGTGCTGGGTGTCACCCTGGCAGATGAGCCTGCACAGCCCCTCCTGACTGCCCAGCAAGGCTGGGTCTGCAAATCCCAGCACCTGGCTGAGCCAAGGGTTCCCCTGGGCTCCAGCACTGCCTGTGGTGGCAGAACAGCGGTGACCAAAGGTGGTGACACAGCTGCTCTCACAACTCATATCCCAGGCTCCTTCAGCCTCTCCTGCTGTCGCTGACACAGCAGGTGGGGGAAGTCATGGGTGAGAGGCAACCCAACATCCAGTGTGTTCATGGAGAATACTCCTTGCTGGGGAAACCTTTGGGATCTGGATGACTGTGTGATCCATCCATCCAGCTGGAGAGAAAGTACAGCTGGAGACTGCTGGGGGAAGCTTGAACAGTGCAGTGTTATTCACCTTTTAAATATGTCAGAATTAGGTGTCTCAACTGAGAAAAAATGTCCCTCTCTGGGTGTCCCCAGAGGACAATTGGTCTGAGACAGCTGGTACAGCTGCACCAAGACATTGAACTGTCAGCTCTGGAAGCAGGGACGGAGGAATCCTGGCCTGGCAGGGCTGAGGCAGCTCCTGAGCTTTGCTACAGCCAAGCAGAATTTTGATCACTACAGGTAGTGACTTATAACTCTCCAGAATCACTAGACAGGGCCAAGGAGCTCTTAGGCAGCAGTGGGACACAATAATCTAAACGACCACTGAGTCAGCCCTGAGTTGACTTCTGACCTGATGTAGCCTTGTGTCAAGCAAGAAGAGGCAACAAGATGAGCAGCAAAAACCTCTCTGGCTGGTTTTGGGTGGTGTAAAACGGGCACATGATGCAGATGACCTGTGAGATCTGTTCTCTCACCTCCCCTGGATGCCCCTGTCCCACAGCAAGCACCCTGGGAGTTCCTGCAAAGCTGGAGCTCACTGTGCCCTTGGCAGAGGCTGAGCTTTGTGGGCAGCCCAAAGTTCGGACTGGGTTAAATAAAAAGTGCTTCCCACACCTGGAGGCAGAAAAGAAGAGCTGTTACCTGTCATTTCAGCAAGGAGGGAAATGGGGAACTGCATCTTATTCCCAGTCTGCTCCTGACTCACTCTGTGAGTGGGGTGAGTCACTTCCAAAGGTCTCTCCTTCCAAGTCCTCCCTGCTCTGCAGGGAATGGTAATGCTCCTGGAAGCTCATCCAAGCTCCATTCATTATTAAATGCCTTTAAATGTGTTACAGCCTGGGAGGAAATGCCTTGTGGCCACAGAACTCTGCTCTGTGGGCAGAAAACACTCCCAGGCTTGAAGGGAACTTCAACCCACAGAAGGACTCACTGAGCTGTGGGTTTTGACTGTGAAAATAGCTGAGAGAAAGGTGGTTTCCTGTTTAGAGAATTACTGTGGCAATAAGACTTAGTGCTGGCAGCCATCCAGCATTTATTGCAGTGGGAAAAAACCTATTTCGTGTCTTCTTGGTATTTGTTCCAGGGACACTCACCTGGCTTCAGCTCTCAGCAGCTGCTCCTCCTGAGCCTGGATTAAAGAGCTTTTTAACACCCCGCACTTTTCACCCCCTAAAAGTGCTTATACCTGGTGACCATGTCACCTCAGAGCCTCTCACTTTGAGCTGAAATGCTGAGCTCTGTAAAAATGTCATTGAAAAGCATTTCCCCAACTCAGTTTGGAGTCGGGCTGCTTCTCCACCAGGACATCCACAGCCACCCCACAGCCCTGCTCCTGGTCCTGCAGGTGTGACAGAACTTGTGGCATTAGGGCACCTTCTCTTCAAAGGCCCCAGCCCACCCTTGACTCAGAATTTCCCTCTTTTATTGCTTTTTGCATCCCAATCCCTCTGTGCTCTGAAACTTTTAGCAGTGACTATTTCACCCTTATTTCTGGATCACTGAGCTCAGTGTTCTGAAGTGCGTGGCCTCGTCCTAAGTTCTGCCAAATATCACTTGCAGTGATTCTTCAGGGGGTAAAACTCACCCTGAGCTCTGCCAGTTCCCCTCTGCTGCAGCCCTTCAACCCCAGATCTCTCCAGGATGTGCAGTGACACAAATCCCCCGCAGATTATCCAGCAGCACATGATCCAGTGCTGTAGAAAAAGGCAAAACACGTTGCACACACCCATCATCCTGCAGCCCAAATTGTAAGAACGTTAGAGAATTGTTTTGGGGTTGTTTGACAACATCTGCTTTTTTTAAACCCCTGCTGACAGGTGTTAATTATCCTGTAGTCCTTTCATTCTTCACCATTTTCCAACATCTTCCCAAGGCAGCTGGGAGCAGTGCTAATCCTTAGGTTTGGGAAATATTCCTGTGTGTTTTGCTGAAGCCCAGGAAGAGTGGGAGAGCTGCTGGGAAGATGTGATGTGATGTGATTGACTTCTGTCATCGACTTCAACAGCATCCTTGGGCCCTCCCAGCAGTTTTAGCGGATTTGGCCTTTCAAGGAGAGGACACAATCCTGTCTATTTTCACACGTGAGGATCCTGAGCCTTCTCTGCTGGAGGAATTGCTGCTTTTCTACTGGAATGTTTTAGCTCTGTGCCAGCACTGGAGTGACCAGGTGACACCAGGACCCTGCTGTGGGACCTGTGGCCAAGCTGTGTCCACCAAGGAGAAGAAGTGGCTGCTAAAATCCAGCCTCAGTGTTCCTCAGGTGACCCCACACCCACACCATCACTCCCACCCTCCTCTCCTTCCACAGAAAGGTCTTTCCTTTGCAGAGTCCTTGCCCAGAGCTGGCCTTGCCCTTCCTGTGCTCTGCCCCCTCAGTCCCACCCAGATCCAGGGACCTGCTGAGCCTGCCCCTGTCCCCCCGAGGGTGAGGTGGCATCTTCCCCAGGCAGTGTGGGGATGAGCTGGGCCTTGCTGGAGCTCAGCCTGGGAAATCCCAGCTGCACCACCCAGGGACAGGCACTGGGGTGACAGACTGTACTGGGTGGGCGAAGGGCTCGCTCTCTTCTGTGACATCCACCAAAGTGTCCCTCCAGTCACGCAGGGGAGTCAGACCCTGCATGCAGGGACCCCCTCAGGGGGGCCAGGCTGCCCAGGCCACCTGAGCCACCTTGGGCCACCAGCAGGAAAGCTGCAGAGGTCACTTAGTGGGGCCAGTGGGGATGGCTTGAGTGAAGGCTGGTCACCAAAGTGTGAGCTTTGCACTTAAGTACTGAAATCAATTATTACAGGGATTGGAAACAGAGGGATTCACTGTCTTTTGAGGTAAGAATTGGTCCCAGCTTCATCTCAGTTGTCACTGACTCTCAACAAGAAAAATCCTGCTGTTCTCCTCAATACCTTTTATGGGAAGTGGAGAAATCAGCTAATTCCCCATTGCTCCATCCTCACTTATTAGTGCCACAAAGAATTGGGTAATTATGAATAGCACTGCCAGGCAAAATCAGACTTCTCCCTTAAAAATGCATTTTAATTAACTCTGCTGGGTTCACGAGTTTCTCAGGCAGTGCTGGTTGTGCCTCACTGACTGAGCTCTGCTCACCCAGACACAGGAGACCACAAGCTTGGCCAAAGGGCTACAGAAGGGCCTTGTCTTCCCACTGCACCTGCTCTGGAAGGTGACTGTGGTGTGTCAGCCCTGGGATGACACGGCAGCAGAACTCCCCTGAACCTCAGGGCCAGAGCTGCAGGTGGCAGAGAAGGGACGGGGGCAGAGATGTGGCACAACCAGGTGACAAGAGCTTCTCCCAGAGCCCTGCAGTGGCTGTGAGGGAAGGAGTGCCCTCCCTGCACCCCAGAACTGTGCTGGGAAAGGGCACTGATGCCTCAGCAGTTTTATTTCCAGCAATCCTTCCCAATTCCCAGCTCTCCCATTTTTTTCCCATGTAAGTAAGCCCCCACGATGCTGAAGGCAAAGGAATGTGAAAAGGGAGATATGAAATTTTTACTCTTCCTTCACAAAAGGCGAGAGAAAACCCCCACCACGTTTCCCAGCCAGCCAGAAGAGGAAGGAATCCCAGATTCAGAGCTGGGAGGAGTGAAAACACGGTTTGCTCCTCTGGTAGCACTGGGGGCTGTTCAGTCAGACACACAAATGTCTCCTCAGCACGAGTTTCACATCTTGGAAGAAGGATGGGAAAACCCCTGTGTGTTCCAGAGCAAAGCAAAGCCCGTGTTGAAGCCTCCAGACATTCCACAAGTCCCAGCTTTGCAATTCAAGGCAAAGGTGGAGAGAATATCACAGCTTATGGGTGCAAACTTAAAGAAGGGCAACTTTAAAATAAAATCTTAAAGGCTTACAAGACAGAATTTTACAGAGAATGGTAATGTCTTGTTTCTCCCCTGCTTCTTTTTTCTGGCTTGATGATTAAATGCAGTAAATAAATCCATAAAAATAATGACTCTTGCAGACCTTGCAGCATTCATTTTAATAGATGCTATTTAGCTACACACAGAATCACAGATATCTACCTTTCAAACGCTGGTTACAAATATTGGGAAGGCTGCCAAGAAAATGGTTTTTATTTCCCCCCAATAGATATCAAAAAGAAACAACTTCTATGTTGAAATTGCCTTTATTTTTTAATCCATAAATATTTGTTACTGACAAAAGTGGAAAAATCCTTAAGACTCTAAATTTTACTAAACTGATAATATTTTTGTATACAGTACATACAGAATGTGCTTTTACAGTTAAGTATAACAACAAGAATAATACAGAGAAAAACAGTCAAATACTGCTCATCTTGAAGCTTGTTTAATGGTTAACCAAGAGTCTGTGCAAATTACAGATACAAATGTACTTCCTCTTCAGTACTACTGTATAATAAACATGGAATCCATAAACTGGGCTAAAGCACAAAAATATCCACTTAACCCCTCTTAGGAAATATTGTTCCCCGAAACTAAAAATATTACAGTAAGAAGTGTCTTTCTCAGAGCCAAGAAATTCTTGCTACAAAAATGTCTGAGGGGTTTGCAGGGGGGCACGGGGGGGCAGAGGGTCAGGGGAGCAGTGGGATGGAGACCTCCCGGACATCGCGTGGCCATGGAGACACAGGGTGCTGAGGGCACAGATCTCACTCACATCAACACCACCACGCCCAAAAGGGACCACCCAGCTCCCCCCTCACCCCTGGGCTGCCACGGGGGCTTTCCCAGCTGGGTTTTGGTGAGGGCACCCCAAGAGCCCACTCTGGGAACTGGGAATGGTCCCTCCTCCCGTCTGCTGATGGACAGCACAAAGTGGCTGCTCTCTGAGGAGCAGCCCCAGCACAGCCTTATTGCTACAACATTTTGTATGAAAATATTTAAGCCCCTTTCTCACCTATTTCCCCCTACTTTTCACTCACTGGAAATATACCCCAACACGAGACCTGTACGTGAGGGAGATATTTCAGCAGGGTCCCTCCTTCCACATGAACACTAAACCCGAAACAAAAAACAACACAAGCTGTTTCTCCATCACATGAACTGCAAATGGCAGATTGATCACAAAGTAGAACACATATTTCAAACACAACTGGAGTTACCCTGTTTCATGGTGAGTTTGTTTGCAGTGGTGGAAGATGAAGACATGTCCCAGCTCCCAGGAACTGGTCATCTCTTACAAAAAGCATGCCAGGCTCTTGCAGATTCCTGGTGGGAATGCCTCTGATGGACACAGGAACAGAAAGATGCATGCAGGAAGCCCAGGTTCATGGGACCAGCTTTGCAGCCAGCCAGGTTCCAGAACAGCAGAAAGAAATGAAATCTAGGCCAGGAAAGGAGGGCTTGCTCCCAGAAAACTGTCCCTGTTTCTTCCCCACCCACTCCCATATCCAAATAACAGATCATCATTTATAAAAGGAACTTTAAAACATTGAAAAATATTTCATTTTTCCTTAAAACACGAGTCACTGGCATTAGAAGACTTTTTATGACAAAATTCTGTTCCATGTGGTGCTCTGTGTGGTTCATTAAAAATAGTTCGCCACATTTCAAAGAGTGATTCGATGCAGTTTGAAGCTTTGATTGGTACAGGGTCAGTCAGAATTACTGATTGCATTTTGCAGTGTGTATGTGTATATATATTTGTGTCCATATACATACACACACATGAGGTTGGTGTATAAACCCCAGGGCAGAGCACTGGTTTCTGTTGCTGCTCAGGGAATGCAAACAATGATCAGTTTTTAGGAAATAATACAAACTTTTCTATAGCCTGTCCCCTGGTCCCTGCACATGCACTCAGGGAACTGGACACTCCACAGGGGTGTTTCCACCTGTGGGTTGAAGAAAAAGCTCAGTTCTTCAGAGTATATTGGATTAATCAAGGCAGACTCTATTTCACTGTACAGAGGAATGTGGCTGCTCCCTGCCTTTCTCCCAAGTGCAGGATGTTGTGGTGACTCAGACAAGAGGAGGAGAAAGCAGAGAGGTGACAGCACCCCTTGGAGCTGTGCCTGCCAGGGACCCTGGCCAGAAGGAGAGCAATGGGGAATCTGGGGACGTGGCATCTCCCCACCCCAGCACTCCCTTTCTGGGCAGACACAACTGTAATACATCACACACAATGTGTCAGGACAGTGACAAACAATAGTCAGAAAAACACTTTGCTGCTCTACAGTTTCTGCTGTGAGAGGGTCTCAAAGCCCTTCACGTCACGGTCTGAACCCTCTGTGGAACGGGAAGGTGTTCCCATTATCATCACAGGGAACTGAAGCTCTGGGACAACTGTGGGACACAACACCCGGTCCCAGAGCAAGTGTTTGTTCAGGGACAAACTCCCAGAGTGAGGAATAAGGACAAAAAATAACCAAAGAACGCCTGTGTGTGCTGGAACATCACTGCCCCATCTACCAACCCAGCCCAACACATACAGCAAGCCATAGGAACACAGGGTGCCCAGCTGGTATCAAGGGCATTGTTCCTTCCCAAGAAAATTGGCTGGAAACTTTCTGTGGTGGTGGCAGAGTCCCTGAAGAGATTTGGCCCAAAAAAGGGTGGGACACATCTGCTTAAAACAATTGAGTGGGTGGAAAAGACAAGGAAATGGGGCTTAATTTGCTTTGGAGGGTTATTGCCCAGGTTGGACACACTGGCAGAGGGTTTGGTGATATTTGCCAGGCAGAATAAGAGAAGACACCAAGGTCAAATGACACGGGCACAGCTCAGCATCTGCATGGGCTGCTTGAGGGAAAAATTCCCAAATACACATCTGGTTCAGCAGCTTCTTAGCTCGCAAATGTAACATTTAGACAAGGACTGGAGCTTGAGACAGACAGCTTTGGGAATGGAAAGAGAGGAGTGTCCACCTACCCATGGCCTCACACTGTCACCTCTGCTCCTCTGGCTCTGCCACCACAGCTCCTGCAGACTCTGGGGTGGCGTCCCCTCTCCTACAGTGTTCATGTCTCCCTGCCTGAAGAGGGGAAATCCTGGCCTTTCTTGGGCCAAGAGGGAATGGAAGAGCCCCAGAACCTCAGCAGGGACTCCCCATCAGCCCTGTTAGTGTCTCTTGTCCTCACAAGAGTCACAGATTGGTCTGTGGAAGGTCAGCAAAGGGCAATACTGTCACAGGGATTGTCTTCTGGGAGCAAAGTGAGCAAGCTGAGGAGCTTGGAGGTAGTCAGGGGAGAGTGATGTCCCTCAAGGGAAGGGTCAGCAGAGGAGGTGTGAGCCTTTACTCTCTCATCCCTCTCATGCCATGAACTGCCACTCTGATCCACAGACAGTTCTGGTTGTTGCCCAGAATGATTTTGCCCAATGATTTTGCCAAATCTGGACCATGGAGACTGTTATTTATTCCTTCCCAGCTCAGTTTCCGTCAAACAAAGCCCCAGCACCTTGCTGATGGATCCTTCTCAGCAGAGTCTCCATCTGATGGGGCACAATAAAGCTCTGGAACTCATACCAACAGACTCAGGACAGCCTGGGAAAGAGAAAGGCCTGCCTCTAAATCCCACCGGGGTAAGGACATGTGCTCTTCCTGCCTACTCTGACAAACCTGGTGCTGCATCAGAAACCTCCACAGGAGACTCAGAAACCTCCACAGGAGACTCAAGCTCCCAACTTACGACCATTGCAACCATTGTTTGCTACAGGACTTGATGTGTGGCTGGGAACACCATTAAGGCCAGGAGGCAGGAGGTATTTGAGGGGAGGGAGCAGGGCAGAGCTGAGTTCAGTGAGGTTTAATGTAGGAAAAGACTTGGTTGAAAATGTAGGACATGAGGAGAAGTGTCCAGGAATGTTCTTACAGCCTGAATCAGTCATGTCACCCAGAGGAGGGAACGTGGCCACAGGTGGGACGGGCAGCGTGGACAGCATGGGGTGGGACCCCCAGGGCACACCATGGACAGGGTCCAGCACCAGGACTTACAGCACTGGGTCTGGCTGGGCTTCCAAACCTCTGAGACCCTTCCCTGGCTACAGAAGTGTGTTGTAATGTGAGTTAGTTCTACGGAATTTGATAGCAACAGAAATAAAAGGGAAAAAAAAATAAAGCAAAACCAAACCCAAATCCAACAAACCAAAACCAAACCAAAACAAATCCTAAAACAAACAAACAAACCAAACAAACAAAAACACCAAAAAAAACCACAAAGCAAAGCCCAATCTGGCTGGAAAGCCAAGGATGAAACCCTCACAAATTCTGGACCCACGAGTCTCTGTTTTAAAGATTTTACAAATATACAGTATCTAATTAGCATTATATCAGATATACAACATGCCCATTAATTATAATTATGCTGGATATATAATTTATATGCATGAAATGTAACTGTCTTCATGTTTAGGATTGGTACTCAGTGGAATTGGAATTTGGAAGGTTTTCTTGGGAGGCCATCACGTGGAGAGAAAAATCATGGAAAATTCCCAACCTGCTCTTGGGCAGAGAGACACCTCCAGCCTTGTGCTTCTGCTGAGGGCTGGGGACAGATTTGCTACATAAGGAGTTCTGGGTTGTAACTGAGAGGAGAAATCGTGTTCAGAAACAGGGGACCTGGGCCAGTGGAAAATGCTCTCAGGGAAAGGCTGTGGGGAGAGATCCAGGCTCAGGGGCAGGGGTGGAAGCCTGGCCTGGCAGGGCTCTCGTTGCAGTCGGGACCTCCCCAGCACAGCTCAGCACGGCGAAGCTGAATGACTTCTGCTGCCATAGGTTCAGCAGTGGCAAGAAGCTGGAGGAAGAGAAACCCTGTTCCTCCTTCCTATTTACATGTTGGAGACACCAAGATATTAGAATGAGTGGAGGAAAGGGTCTAACAAGCATTTCAGCGTTATTTGTGCTTATTGAACACATCAACCCCACTACTTCCTACACTGAGAGAGCAGGCGATTTGTAGGCACTAGTATGTTTGTATCTTATGAGTATATTTCATATAAACTAAAAGTTTATTTCTCAGCCAGGCTATTCTTGTCCCTAAATCTGCCAGTTCCCAAGGAAAGTCTGCCCTTGAACTTGCTCCAAGGGTGACAAGGAACAGATGTGTGGGTGCTGACTGGTGTCGAGCAGCCTGGGGGAGACCCGAGCAGCCAGAGCTTCCCTCCTTGCTACAGAAAGGCCAGACATGAGGACAAGCCCCTTCCTGACAGAATGGGGTGCTGTGTTTCCTCCTCTCTACCTCGGGCTGCATGGGACTGCTTCTACCTGGAGCAACGGAAGAGTCCTAAATTGGTGGGGACAATGAGATGATGCAGGTGAGCCCTTGGAAGGAGCCATCGATTACTATGGCTTTCTTTGACAGAAACTGATGCACATCAGGAAAATTTCCTCTATTATCCCTCACTACTGTCTGTTGGCTTGCTTGGGTTCTTCTCATGTCACCGATGAAGGGGTGGCTTTAAAAAACAACGTGGATGGGACTGTCAGAGAAGTCTTTGCAGACACTGAGTTAGTAGAGGTTACCTTGGCCTATAAGGCCACTGCAGTGCGGGGTGCTGTGGCCACCCCAGTCCTTACAGAGTATGTACAAGGCCCGAGGTCCTATCACACAGTCACCTCAGTCTTGCTGGCCGTGCGGTAGTGGTGGTGGTGGCCGGGGATGTAATGCAGTTGCTCCACGGTGTTGTGGCGGCGCGAGGCGAAGGCCTGGCGCTTGGCCGAGGTGGGGGTCATCCCCAGAGTGTTGTACAAGTTATTTGAGGCACTGGGATGGGAGTGCATTTTTGACATCCTGTAGCGATCCAAGACGGGCGTGGACACAAAGACATCCGTGTGGGACAGCGCCCGGGACATGGACTGCTCGGGGTACCCCGAGCGCTCCGGGGACAGCAGCGGGTCCTGCGAGTGCAGGCGCTCGGCCGACAGCAGCTGCTCATCTGACAGGATCCGCTCGTAGGACATGCTGAACTCCTCGGGCATGATCCTCTCAGGGGACAGCACCCTGTCCTGGGACATGGCCCGGATGGGGCGGCGGGGCCTGTCCCGGTGGTTGGTCTGTTGGGACATCTTGATGACGTTGATGGGGAGCGTCCCCCGCGCCGCCAGGTCGGGCAGGTGCCTCCTCCTCATGTAGTACTCATCAGCCTCCTTGTCAGCTGTGGGGAGGGAAAGGAAGGGGTTAGGCACGTCACAGTGCTGTTCCACAGGGGGAAAGGGGCTGTGCACAGCACACAGCCCTGCAGCACCTCCTGGGGACACCTCGGGGACCATCCCTGTCAGAGACACCCCAGCCCTGCCTGGCTTGTGCCGCCACGGGCCTATGGCAGAGGAAGGAGTTTGAACTGCATGGAGATGGGGGGAGTCCCTGTGCAAACACCCACCTTCTTGCACCATGAAACAACAGATCCCGTGTGCCATCGAGTCCAGACCTTGCTATGACGTGATTTACACAGGAGGTGAGTTATGGAGAAATTACCAAATGTCACCTTCACAATACACCTCTAAAGCAAGGACAAGGCAGGTGAGCTGAGCAGGAAAGTCCCCCAGCAGAGGAAATGCACAGTTCATCTCTGGCCTCAGACAGGGGTGTTCCCTGGAGTCCACGAGTGATGTCATCACATTTTTAATTACTGTTTTTGAACATTTGTAAATGTGATCCCAAAACTGGTTTGGTGGTCATTGGGTGTTCTCTCTGAGACACTGAAACACCTGCCTAAGGTTTCAGTTTCCATTTTCTCAGGCACTTTCATTGATAGAATTCATCCCATGGAATGTTTCTTGCTCAGTTTGCTGTTTCTGCACCTTTAATGATCTCTTTTGCTCAGAAACTCATCCCACCCCCACACACACTCAGCCTCCTCTCTTTGGCTTTCAGAGACTCAGAGAGGGTGTTGGCTCCTGCAGCTGGTACCATGTTAGATTACTTAAATCCTACAGCTGGAATGACCTGATTCAACCAACTTATAATTAAAAGAAGCAATTCCACAACTGTTTCAGTTTTGGTTTTTTTTTTGTTTTGTTTTTTTGTTTTTTTTTTTTTTTTTTTTTTTTTTTTTTTTTTTTTTTTTTTTTTTTTTTTTTTTTTTTTTTTTTTTTTTTTTTTTTTTTTTTTTTTTTTTTTTTTTTTTTTTTTTTTTTTTTTTTTTTTTTTTGTTTGTTTGTTGGTTTGTATTTTTTTTTAAAACAACAGGAACACAAAAACGTCCTGGTCAACCCTTTTGATGCTCATATGCTGTAAACTGGGATTACTTACCTGGAAGGAGGCTTAGAAGTTCTTGGGCTTCAAGCCCAGTGCAGCCTGTAAGGAAATGTCATTAAGCCCAGGAGGTGGGAGGTATTTGAGGGGAGGGAGAATTTCCCTCTGTGCCTGTGGCTGCAGAGATGTAAAGCACAGGACATCAGTCCCAGGACCAGAATGGTCCTGTCACAAGGAGAAGAGCAGAACACTGGCCTCTGCCAGGGGATGGAGGAATGTTTAATGCTCAACACTGATCATCTCCACGAGCCTCCTTCCTCATATCTTTGTCTGAGATGTTTCCTTGGTGTGCCCAAAAGCACCTCCATCCTTTCTGGCTCCAGAAGACCCCAGAGTGAGCCCCATCCCAGACAGCTGGCAGGCAGCCACCCTCTCCTTGGAGAAGGCAGCACAGCCCTCACTGGTGTGTAGGAAGGGGACTCCACATGCACAGGTACAGCACATTTCTCCACCTTCCAGAGGAAACAATCTTCTTGAGAAGTAACCTCATAGGAGCATCTTGGGATGGACCAAAGAGCTGGGAACACACAAAACATATAACCCAGCGTGCACTTTCCCTGCCAACTTGAGCCCAGTGTTGATGGGCAAAGACATCCTGTCCTACAAGACCCGACATGACATTCCTGTGGAAAGTATTTTGCTTATAAGACAAGTATGATAAATATATATGATAATGATAATAAAGAGGGACACCATTGATTTTCTTAGCTTGGTATTTCATTCTGTAGTAGGTAATGTGAGATGGGAGAGTATCAGGTTGTGGAAGAGGAGAATTGCACATGCATGGAGATTCTGAAGGTTGTTTGAGGGACAGAAAGAGCATAGCTCTGCTGCAAGACAGCCTGGGCAATCCAGGGGCAGGTAAGGGAGGTGATCCCATTTTCTGTAGGCATCCAACAGGCCTAGAACTGAAATATGGTGGAAATTTCCTCTCTCCTCTGAAATAGCCATAAATCTGTTGGTTTGATGCACTGCGTTGGCTGAGAGTTGAAGACAATTGGCTGGTGTCCCCTGAGGCAGAGCTCAGGTGGTAAATGGGGGGCTGACACCATCCCAGAGGTTTGCACATAAAAATCACAGAATCTGCTGAGCTGGAAGGAACCTACAAGGATCACAGTGCTGCTTTCTCAGTCAATGGCAGGAGAGGTCAGTGCCCAGAGGTGGGAAGGTCCTTCCTCAGTCCACTCCCACTGCCCAGGGACACAGCAGGGATCTCACAGAGCCCCAGAATGTGCTGAGCTGGGAGAGACCCCCAAGGATCATCCAGTCTAACCCTCAGCCCTGCACAGGCCCATCCCCAAGAGTCACCCCCTGTGCCCCAGAGGATCATCCAAAGCCTCCTGCAGCTCTGGCAGCCTTGGGGCTGTGCCCACTGCCCTGGGGAGCCTGTTCAGTGCCCAACCAGCCTGTGGGGGAAGAACCTTTTGCTGAGATCCAGCCTGAGCCTGCCCTGACACAGCTCCAGCCATTCCCTGGGGGCTGTCCCTGGTCCCACCAGAGCAGATCACAGTTACCCAATGGTGCCTGAAGGTCTTCTCCAGCCCTGGAGAGCTGTCAGCACCCTGTGCTGGATAATGCCACTTATTTATGACAGTCATCTCTCCCACACATTCTCTTTGCTGTTCCCTGGACCCTGCTTCTCATGGGCCTGTGCACAGCCCAGAAGATCTGTGAGCAGGGTGGGTGATTCCCATCTCAGCATACCAATTTACAAGCTGAGAACGTGTGCAAGGGCCTGTTGGCACCACCGTGGCTGCCCACCTCTTCTGCACAGCCCACACACCACCAAGGCTGAGGTGCCCCACAGCTCCCCTGCACTGGCACACCTCCTGCTGCTGGGATTTGCTCTCCAGAGCACGTACTGGACGAAAGAGTCTTTGGTTTTTTTGCAGTCAAAAACTTCTTGGAAGAATATCTCCTTGCAAATATCAGACAGCACCTCCCCTGGCCTCTAACACTTTGCCTTTAAAATCACCTTCGAGGAAGCCTGAGAAGGACTGGGGAAATTCCAGATGGCCACAGTAAGTGTAGACATTTTTATTCCATAGTTTATTTCCAGAGAAATGCCCCACTTCTTGTGCACAGGCGTGGTAGAGGTGCTTGGGGCTGGATGCAGAACAGGAACAAAGCAATTACAACTCTGGCACTTGGCCTCTGCTCTGGGTGACAGGAGTTCCACTGGATTTGCCCAAGTGACTCGAAATAGATGTAATTAAAGCAGAGAACAACCCAAATGGAGATGTGCTTGGATGCCTGCACCTGGCTGTGGTAATTGCCAGCAGGAGCTAAACCAGTTTATGTGAGGTTTGCAGCATCTGAGGCTGCTTTAGTGAGGTGGATCAGCTGATGAAAAGTGAAGTTGTTCCTTGCTAATTTAGATTAAACCCCCAGCAATCTCTACACCTTAATTTTTTTTTCCCATTAGTAGCGTTAAAAATATTCTTTTTTCCCCCTCTCCCATCCCATGTACAAGTTTGCACAGGCTTTTGCTGGCCATGGTTAAGCCTTTCAGGGAGCTGACTTCACCTCAGGTTCTTCTGAGCTCACCCAGGCTGTGCCCCCCGTGAAGCTGAGGGACAGGTGTGGGTGTCGGCACAGCTATTCCGGGAACATTTCCTGCTGCAGACACGCTTCACATCTCCACCTCAAAGGAATCAAAGCTGAAACAGCAGTTTCTCACGAACAACAAGCTGGTTTAAGCAGGCACCAGACAGACTTTGAACAGGCTGTTGCCTCTGAGAGGTGGTGTCGGTGTGAGCCAGCAGTGGAGAGCGGAGCTCGGCAGGAGGCCACGGTTCTGGATCACACACGTGCCATGGTGCCAAGAGACAAGCTCAGCACAGCTCTGGAACCACAGTGTTTGTGCACCCAGGGGCAGCCAGGAACTAAACACAGCCCCAGGCTTTGCAGATGGGAGGCTCCAGTGGGCTGGGGTGGGAACTGGGGATTTCTGGTTTCATACTTGGCTAAAACCAAATTCTGTCCCTGGGAACAGAAATCACGGAATGGTTTGGATTGGAAGGGATCTTAAAGATCAGCTCATTCCACCCCCCTGCCATGGGCATGGCCACCTTCCATTCTGATCCATCTCATCCTCATTATACTGGCACACTGAGGCTCTCAAACCACTGCCCCTTATCCTGTCATTGATAGGAGAACAGACAATTGTATTTTCAGATAAATAAAACTACCAATATGTTTCTCCATCAATGAGATAGAGATTGTGCACAATCCAATATGTTTCTCCATCGAGGATGTGCTTAAAAATTAAAAAACAAAACAAAATAAAACAAAACAAACAAACAAAAACACAAAAAACCCAACCCAAACCAAACAAAAGAAAAAAAAAAACAAAAACAAACAAACAAACAATCAAACAAAAAAAACAACCAGGATTTCAAAAGGCCAGAAATTGTGAGCAGAAAAAAAGAAATTACTGGTGTACTGATTGACAAAAATTTCTCTTTTTTTTAAAGTCATATCCATTGTTCTGGGTCATAACTTGTGTTTCTCAAACAAATGGAACGGGATATCATGTTTTCTGCACACTTTCTGGGCTTTTTTCAGTGGTTTTGGTTGGGTTTTTTCTGCCCTTTCTTTCCTCCTTTAGCAGTTTCTGAAACATTGACTGGGGCTGGTCTCACCAAATTTCAGGAATATTTGAGTGATTCAACTGCCTTGACTTTAGGATAAACTGATTTTGCCTGAGATTCCTTTTTGGGGATTTTTTTCCTCCCATTTGGGGGCAGATCCCCAAATGAGTGCTCTCTAAGTGCTCTTACTCACACATTACACTTGGACATGCCTAAGAAACGCAGAACACAGCTCTTCTGACACTGGAATTAGAGAAACAAGGAGCATTTTTGGTGACCTGGGAAGAGAATATGGAAAAGCCAAAGGTATTTTTGCTTCCTGTGGTTGCAGTTAACATGGTGAAAGCAGCTGCACATGTGTGTATGTGAGGCCATAAAAGTAATTCCTTTGCTTTTTTTAAAGGTAACTCCTCTGTTTTTCTTTCCCTGCAGCTCCAACATGTTCTCTCCTCAGGCTTGTACCTCCAGTTTTAATTGGCCTTAACATTTTGCAGCTGCCTAGTCATTTGTGAGGATTCTTTAGCCAGCACCAAGTGGTTTAATATGCCTGAAAATATCACCTTCCTTCCTGACTGACCTTTCCCACTTAGCTGGAAAGAGCAATTCCCTGGAGCTCTGGGCAGGATGGAATTAAAAGGGCAGCTCTTCCTCAGCCAGGGGTTTCCACACCCACCCACCACTGCTTTTCCCACCTTCCAGGGCTGCCAGGGCATGGCTGGAGCAGGTCTTCCCATGGAGGGGGTACCCAGCCCCCCAGAGCCCTTCCTACCCCAGGGAGCAAACCCCAGGTGGGTTTCCTGTTGTCTGTGCCTTAAAGAAGAGCTGGGGAAGCAAAGAGCCCTGGAAGCAGAAAGATCCCATGGGACTTGGTTCTGAGTGGCTTCCATGCAGTCAGCAACCTGTTCTTACAGCACCTAAAAGATCTGGAGCACCTTCAAGCCTTTGCTTTGGAAGGATGAGAAGTCACAGTGCTGCTTTCTCAGGCAATGGCAGGAGAGGTCAGTGCCCAGAGGTGGGAAGGTCCTTCCTCAGTCTAATCCCACTGCCCAGGGACACAGCAGGGATCTCACAGAGCCCCAGAATGTGCTGAGCTGGGAGAGACCCCCAAGGATCATCCAGTCCAACCCTCAGCCCTGCACAGGCCCATCCCCAAGAGTCACCCCCTGTGCCCCAGAGGATCATCCAAAGCCTCCTGCAGCTCTGGCAGCCTTGGGGCTGTGCCCACTGCCCTGGGGAGCCTGTTCAGTGCCCAACCAGCCTGTGGGGGAAGAACCTTTTGCTGAGATCCACCCTGAGCC